AGTGAATTCTTAATTGGCCTATGAAATTTTCGCATTTACTGGATTTCGTTTACGTCCATCAACGAGAACTATATACTTACAGGTGTAATGCCCGAGGACTAAGCCCCGTGCACGTTCTTCCCCATCTCAACAACCTAGTCACCTACAGTTTTCTTATTTGTCAGACATGATGTCTAGGACCCCCATGGGATCATCTTCGAATTGGTCGCTCACACACTCGTAGACTGGTGTTTATCTTTTCAATTAACGAGTTGTGCACTCTGCATTGTTAATGAATCTTTCGCCCTCGGGTTCCACATTACTGATTGTCAAAGTAATTCATTTGGAGCGTGAATTTTGCGAGTTATTTCATTTTCTGATTGCGAATATGTGTCCTGGTCGCTCCCATACCCACCCTTGTGTGTTGGTGTGTTGTGAAGTGACCCAAATCCAAAGCTTTACTGGCTGTTCACTTTGTCTCAACTGCTCCCGGTTTTTTTCTCTGGTCAAAAAACAACACATCTCGTTCCCCCACCCATTTAGAATACCCATAGGGTTTGGATTGTTTTCCCCGCCTGATTTAATTAGTTTCACAAAGTGGTTGAGTAGTGTAAACAAATCAGTTGGTGTTGAAAAATTTTGAAGTCCCACACGGGCTAGTTTATTTTTTCTTTCGCATTATTTTAGTCTCAAGTAAAACTTGTTTAAAACCTTTTGCAAAGGTTGCTTGAATACTGTTCATCATAGCTTCAACCATTTCCTTTATCATGGTTACGGTGATCATGAACCGTGCGAGCAGAAGACTATAAATACCTAGCAGTAACCCTTATTATTAAAACAAAATTAGGTAGTAGTACATATATTTCTTTACTATTGGTTCAATATACATATATATACATATATATATATATTTCACAGACTTCTGACGCCAGACTGCGTGCCAAACAAATCATGATACAATAATCTTTATCAAAAGAAAGACGTTCCATGCTTTGCACGTGGGTTGAATAATGCCAGGTTGCCCAGGCCAAGCCAGGTAAATTTTCTTGAGGAATCCACAGCCGAAGCCTTTAGCTAGCCAAAGCCTGACCCACAAGGCAGTGGGGCGGCTTAGGTGAAAACCGCAATCCATTGGGTGCCGATGCCCAGTTAAACTACTGGTCCAAATCATTGAAGAATATTCTCTCGCACTCTGATTTAAGAGAGCTATCACGTTTACACATCAATAAGGAATCGAACACTGATAAACGCATCACATGTTATGCTCATTCCAAATCTGGTGCATACAAGGATAAGATGTTTGTTCTGAGAGCTACTCTTATTGTCCAATGAACTACAACATCCTCGATGGGATTCGAACTAACACATTCGTGGATGCCGCGTGCGTCTTCGCACAGTGCACATTCTACCAGCTGAGCTACGAGGTCACCCCGTTTGTGCTGATCCTCTCAACTGCGGATCATCCATCCAGCTTACAAAATCGTGTGGAATCCACTGAGGTGAGTAACATGACAGGCTCTTCACAGAATCCACCGGAATCCATCGAATAAACTTCCGAGACTGGATCGGTTGTTCAAACGGTGTTAGTTGGCAGATAACAGCAAGTAACCGTTTCGTGTCTGACGTTTGTCCGATGTCAGTATGTCATTAAACGAAGCATCCTATTGTTCTGTGTACAAATCCGGAGATGCGCGCTTCACTGTTTCAGGGTTTTAGGAATTCCGATGAATTGGACAAATTTAACGATTTGAAGGCAGATGATTCATCCGTTTCTCCATTTTGTTGTTGTTGTTGCTGCTGCTGCTGCTGCTGCTGCTGCTGCTGCTGCTGCTGCTGCTGCTGCTGCTGCTGCTGCTGTTCAAACCATTGTCACTGACAACTTAACATGCTTCGTTGAGATCGAAAAAGTACAAGCAGAGAGGCGAAATTTGGAAAAGATGTTTAGATAGATTGGTACAATTCAAAGAAGTTTTTTTCTCAAACAATTTCAAGCGCAACGAGTTCGCCTGGGAGATAAGTATCAATTCATCTTCTGGTCGTTTGCACCTCCAACTATCCGCCTGTCCATCAGCAATTTTGGTCAGTACGAAAGCGGAACAGTCGATGGAGGAACTAATGTACTCTATTCA